TCCACTGATGAGTCACTGGACTTCCTAACGAAATTGATGCAAGTAGTACAGTGAAACGTAACTTACAGTAAAGATTAATATGAGAAATCAGTGCTTTTACAGTACCTGGGGTTTGGGTTTTACTTTTTTTTCAATAGTCAAAACCCTGAGACAAACTAATATTTCTTAACACAAACCTACTTTTTGTTGGAACATAAGCAGCCAACAGCCATCTCTCCATATAACTTTAACCTAACCCTTTATCATATCAGGTATAAAATGATGTTGCAAAACTGCATTTCACCCTTGTACCCCAGATAACAAAGACCAACAACATCTCTCTCACTACAAATCATGAATTATTCATGGTCAATGAGGGCTCTGTTCATGACCAATGTTGGGACAGTTCATGACCTCAGCCCTGTGTCCAGATCCTTCTTGGTTATAAATGGCTGTGGGTTTAATGCTGGTGATAACCTCACAAAGAAGTTTATAAGTTGGTAAATATGGGAAACATTTTCCTTCTCCAAGGCATGCTAGAGATTTTAGATTTAAATCCTTGCCAGAGATTTTTTTTTTCCCATGCAGTTTCTGCATGGTTCTTCCCAAGCCGGTTGCGAAATCTTGGACTTTGCTGAGAACCTGCCTTCCAAAAGGATCAGCAGCTCCATCACCCATGCTGATCCCATATTTGGTAGTATCCAACATAGATTAGCTTAATGGGAGTTTTCAAACTGCTCAGAGGAAGGAGATGAACAGAAGACGGGCCGTAACCTCAGACGAGGCTGCCAAATGAACACGGGAAGGTTGGTACACAAAAGCCCAGATGGAAATTTCCAGGAGACAGCCACACCCAGACAAGATTAAAACCTAATACAATAATGTACAAAAGAAGGGGAGGATGGAACTGAAAAAAGATTCCTTTTGGGGATTAGATATTGACATCTTGACCATAAAGGCAGATAGAAAGAAATCAATCTAGTGCATGGCTGTGATAGAAAACAGGTAACATCTTCAGTCCTATAACCTTCACTGTGGATGAAAAAGGAGAGGGGATATATGAAAGTAGGGACAGACAGTCCACAAGACAGCTGGGAAAGGAGCATACCAAAATTCTTCAGTTCAACAAAAGAGATTATTATTTGCATAAAAGCTACATGTCACTCAAATTGTCCTAATTAAGACTGATAAGGCTTTCTGTCTGTCAGCATGTGAAATAATCTGAGTGCTGGGTATTCGGAAATAACATTTCTGCATCACGCAGAAATTTTATCTTTAAACACCAAGCTGTTGTCTGTCAGGATTTGACGTAAGAATGTGAGTGACATCCCTTGGCCAGGATGGCAGGATGTTGGAATGAGATATCTTTAAGGTCCCTTTCAACCCAAACCATTCTACCATTCTATGACACATTTATATTTTTGACTTTTCAATATAGAAAACAAACAAGATTTTGTACCTGAGACAGGTTCCTCTTCTGAACACAGTTAATCCCTCCGATAAAAGCCATGTTTGGCATCACTGGTCTGGGGAACTCAAACACAAAATCGTATCTCATCAGCCAGAAGGATCCACGGCTCAGGAGTTCTGTCACTGTCACTTTCTTTCTGAAAAGCTCATATGCAAGTTCTTCAAAGTTATCATATATAGGCTTACAGTAAAAGAGCTCCAGCAGATTGACCAGCACGTTCTTCACCCGTTGGGAAAACATCATGCTGTCTGAATTATCCAAGAAAAACCTGGGCACATAGGAAGGAGGGCTTGGACACTGAGTAGCAGCAGAATCCATTCCACAGGGAAAGCCCCGCAGGAAGTAGACGGAAGGCACA